TTCAAGCAGCTTATACAGCTGCTTTCTACTTAGTACAAATTCGAAGTCCTAACTATAATTAGAACCGTCCGAACCGAATAATAGAACTGTAATTAGAAAGATTAAAGTTTTTTGTTCTAGTGGTGTGAGCTTTTTTATGAATAATGGGTAGAAAGAAAATTAAGGATGGGGCGCCAGCTTGTAAAAAGTTTCAGCATGTATGCATCATTCGGTAAACAGTTCGGTAAACAGTTAATTCTCATATTAGAGGCAATTCACTTCAACATATATCAAGTCAACAAATACCAAGTGCGAAATGGGGATATCCAGTTAACAACTGCAGTGGCATTTTCCTGTCAATCAGTATCACAAATTATATTTTGCAAAATTAAACTTTCATAACTAAAAGGTTAACAAAAAATTTTCAAAATTTTCCAAAAAATAGTTTTAAGTGGCATTTTTTTCTAAATCATTGAGATGCTCCTAAAATACATTTTGGGGTTAAAAAATTATTGGTGTGGTGCCAAACTTGTAGCAAAAGAGCGTGGTTCCAGGAACAACCAGCGCTTCAGGTCTTTGAAAATTTAAATTGCCCTGGCGCTGGAACGGTGACCAAAATAAACTTTCTTTTTTCGCCAAGTCTCTTTAACAGTGAATTTCCGAAAAATGTTGATAACTGACCGAGTGACAGTGAAAAGAGTGGAAGCAATTTTGAGACTTTTACGTTTATTTAGAGCCCATTTCCTTCCAAACGGTTGCAAATACAAATTTTCTTATAGACAGTGACTAACACTTTGAAGCTCATATTCTATTTTGAAAATGAGTTAATAGAGGTAAAAATTTAAAGTATTTTGGTCGGGAACTGAGGTGAACGGTGGCTGTTCGACTTTCCAATCATCATTATCTTATTTCGTCTATAATGGACATGGCTGCAGTTTTGTACCTTCCTATATAACATGTTATTCTAGAACAACAAAACAAACTATTTGAGTAAATAAATGAATAATTGAAAACCGATTTTCTTTCTTTACTTCGGTAATCGGTTAAGGAATTTTTAGTGCTCGTAATTACGGCCATCGTAGGGATTGAACTGATACTATTTTAAGTAGTTACTAAACACCAGATATTATACATGAATAAAGAATGTCTACTCCGTACGTAGTTATAACTGAAATTAAAATTATTAACATGTTATAGTTAAAATAGGTAGAATACCGTGATCGAGCTCCGCAAAGACAAATACCTTAATAAATCAGTCAAAGCCTGCGTAATGTGGCATACCAATCGATCGTATCTTACCTTCATCCCCACTGACAAAATATAATTTTCACATTCTTGAATACTTATAGAAGAAATCGTTTAATGGGGAATTCACATCATCCAGATTATTTTTACTATTTTTATTTTCTGCCAGTTAGTAGGAATTAAATGAGACGTATGAGAAATTACCTAAACTCACCATTTTTTCATAGGAAATAACTTCTCATTTTACATTTTGCATAGTTTATGATCTCAGTCTATTGCTATTCATATTTTCGGCAAGTTTAACCAAATTCTGAGGTTGGAATCGATTACCGTGCAAGAATATGACAAATATTTTTCTAAATTGTACCAAGATTTTTATGAAGAAAATCCATATGTAGGGTAATTCCGGGAGAGATGAACCACCGTCTGAGATGGACTAGTCGGGTATTTTCGACTGTACATGGTATAGGAAGAATATTTCAACGCTACACCGTCAACAAACGACTACCAGTTGCACTCCGATAGTAGCTTTGTGTGTAGTTAATTTTCGGGAGTGGCTTTATTAGTTTCTGCATTTACACATGG